AGACAGTGCAAGAAGTTTCAGAGGATTGTTTCAGGCATTGTTTCTGACCCTGTAGAGATTAAGCTCTAGCATGGAAAACAGTCATAAAACATGAGCTGAGACTCACAGCATGGGAAAAATATAAAGTGACGTGGGTGCAAATGTCAGGGTAGTTAAACTTAATGTAGGGGTCAGTGGAGGTTCTCTGAGAAACTACTGGTGAAGCTAAAATCTAAAGGTGAACAGCTGAAGATATAGCTCAGTTGGTAGAGTGCTTGCCTCATAATATAGGCCCCGGCACACACACACACAATTATACAGGATGAAGGTAGTGCCACTTATTGAGATGTAAAATAAGAGAAAATGTTCGGAGAAATAAAGGTGAACAGGTGTTAGCTGAGGTAGCAGGGAGTGGGGAGGAAGTATGGATAGAAGGGATGTTAAATAGAAAACATGAGCATATTAAGAAAAGTCTTTTCTTGCTATAAATATGAGACTGGGAACAGATATCTTCGTTGAACATATTTTGTTGGGGGCCTGTGTTGTCAAGGAAAAAATTGTAAAGTTCCCATTACCCTTTGCTGACAGCTGAATTCAGATGGCTCCTCTCCTCAAGTGTTGGTGAATCTCAATATCATTCTTGCCATTATAGGGGAATAAAGAAAGGGGATCATAGATGAGAGTCTACATATCCTGAACTGGTTCTTTCCTGATTTTTGCTTATAACCTTGACCAAATGACTTATGTCTGTATTTCTGCTCTGCCATGTGTAAAAGGGGATGATAATGTTATCCAGTTTATCTCTTAAGGTAGAAGCAAATGAGATAGTGGTATAAAAGTTTAAAGTATAATACTGTGCTTTAATGTTTTACATACGCATTTCAAGCATATTTAACACTTTATTGATTTCTAACAGCTCTCTATATATCAGTAGCAACTCAAATTCATTTTTCTTACAATTTCTAACTATAGCAACAGCAACAAGTAGAGAGCCCTCTTCATTACCCTTTAAGAGGAGCAGGATTTGATAGTGTGTCTTTTCAATGGATTCAACAGTTCAAAGTAAGTATATTTTGAAACAGAAACATTGGAAAATCCAGTTATTTTGCAAAATCATTAACAAACAGGGTATATTTCTGCTGTGATTAATTCCCCTAATTCTAGTTTTTATGGTCAAACCAATCTATTAGTCCTTTTTTACTCCTGTATTTAAACTTGTTGACTTCCCAGTGGTGAATTTATTGACAAATACAGCAATAAAAATGTTTGGTGTAAGTTCTTAGTTTTTAAGTATGTAGAAGTTACACTTTAATATGGTACAGATTATACTTTAGCATATCTTTCTTTAAAGTTGTAAAAACTAAGAATTTACATTAAAAAATCAACATCTAGGGCTGGGATTGTGGCTCAGCGGTAGAGCGCTCACCTAGCACGGGTGGGACCGGGGTTCGATTCTCAGCTCCTCATAAAAATAAAGGCATTGTGTTGTGTCCATCTACAAAAAAGATTCTCTCTCTCTCTCTCTCTCTCTCTCTCTCTCTCTCTCTCTCCTTTAAAAAAAAAACCATATAAAAAATCAACATCTAGCTTCACATTATCTTCTTATGAAATGAGGCAAACCCTTAAAATATGATAGCAGTAGTTTATAGGTTTACTTTACCCAAAACTGATCCCTGAAAACATTTTAGTTACAGTTGAGTCTGGAGGTGTCAAATATCTCTATCACATTTTTCCTATATAATTCTGTAGTCACAAATAGAAGAAATAATATCAACACCCCTTTCTCTTTCAGAGTAAAAGGAAAGCTCATTCGAAAATGTACGGAGAATTGTACAAAGGCTACTTTACAGAGATGAAGCATGAATCTAGTTCTAAATGCCACTCTTTTGTTTGTATTCTTTCTCTTTTTTCCCTTGGTATATAATTGGATTTTAAAAGATGGGCTCTAATAAAGGTATCTAATTTCAAAGTCCTGTTTGGTCACCTATTTTTAAAAATTTTGTTACAAATTTCAGTCACCTCAAAGAAAGTTTGATAATTTACTTGCATTAAATATTTCTGCGTTTTGAAGTAGAAAATATTTCAAAACATTTCAAAGAAGGAAATAGTTCATGGATAATTTCTTTCTTTAGAGATGGGAAAAAGCTATTAAGGAGATGCATATTTAGGAACCCATGTGGTTGATGGTCAATTTCATTCTAATCTGTTAGTATATGTTTGAAGGAAATAAAGTATTTGTGGGATTAGCAGTCAGTAAACTCGTGAGCATTCCTTCTGCCTTTCATGCAGTACAGAGGCCTCTACAAGAAGGACCAGGAATGTGGGGTTCAAGACAACTCTGTTACCTGTTCTCCATGTGGATTCATGAAAGTCACTTAACTTCTGATATCAGTTTCTCATGGATGGAGATAATGATGCCTTTCTTATAAAGTTCTTATAGGAATAAGTAACATAACAGATGTAAAAAAGCTTTGTTAACCAGAAACTGCTCTACAAAAATGAATTGTGGCTCAGTAGTAGAGCACTTGCCTAGCATGTGTAAAGCCCTGGGTTCAAACCTCAGCACCACATAAAATAAATCAATAATAATAATAATAATAAACATAGTAGCTGTAATAAAGTTAAAAAAGTGAATGTCAAAATTTACTAAGAGTTCAAAGATAAGAGATTTTATCCCATATACTTAAATATCTATTTTGTCTTCTTGTTTTTGCTTTTCACATGTTTGTGAGCTAAATCCTTAATTAGGTAATAATTAAAGTCATAGAAAGCACATCACATCTTTTTTCTGGGTGGCTCTTTGAATTGCCCTTAATTAATGGGCAACTTTGTTGACAGATATTCTTGCCTGGTCCTCCTGCTGATACCAACTAAATAATCACCATAGTCAAAAGTCTCCTTTGGTCTATTCTGTTGCAATCTGCACCTATTTTCACATATTCTAGTTTCAAAGCTCATGGCAGCTCAGCATCTCCCTAACAAAAGCCTTTATCACTGCTATCAAATTCTCTTCAGCTGCAGGACAGAGTCTCTAGTTCTCCCTCTAAATCTCAGTCCCTTTTCTGATCTAAAACAAGCAGAATTAACCACATCCTTAGCTCCGAGAAGAAAGGAGGAGCACCCTCTGGCCCACTAGATTCCTAGAGCCGAGGAAAGCTTACCCTTACCTGATCAAGGGAAAAGCATAAAGATAATCAAAATAAAATGGCTAGAAGAAATATGGACAGAGAGGTAAAGGAGGCTAAGTGGAAGACCAGAATCAAAAGAAAGTGAAAGTAGAGTGTTCCTAGGATACCGATACCCTTTAGAAGACTGGTGAGGATGATCTGATCTACACTGATGCTGGAACAAAAGCTTTTATTTAACAGACAAGTTGGCATTAGTTCCAAATAAAACTCTTTTAAAAGCTGAAGGAATAGCGAGGAAGGGATGGCTACTTCTCTCTCAGGTTCCCTCCTTGGATCACGTAAAAATGCCTACCAGATCTGCCCTCTGCTTCAAAGTAGTCTTATACTCTTTTCATGGGGTTTTTGAAAAGCGGCCCCAGTTCGGCACACCTTTCAGTTTTAGAGGCAAGAGTATTTTTAGCCTAAATCTCCTCGCGGGGTCTTTACAGATACGATCCGGCTTTCATCAAACAGCCCTAAGAAATCTCTCGCAATTCTCAGACTCGGGTGAACACGTGTGCCCGCAGCCAGCTTGTCGCGCCCTGCGTTTCAGCACCGCCGCCTCTGGAGAGCGCCTTACGCAAGGGCCGGGTGAGGGCCGCCCACCAGGTCCCATCCATTTCCAGTGCACTCACTCTTGCTTACTCCTTATTTCCGTGAGTCCCTGGAAAAAGCACACCCAACTTCTAACTTCTCCTCAATTTCAAGTTCGCGTCCCTCCCTTAGGATCTAAAAGCGCACACCCTGCCCCTTTGGGTCCTACTGGAGCAGCAGCTAAGCCGCGTGGTTTCCCCACCGGTGGCGAGAGGTCTCCAACAGGCATCGATCGATCACCTTTCCCCTGTCTCTGCGGGACCTTAAACCAGCAGCCAGAAGCCCCGGCTCGCTCTCTCCCTCTCCACGCCCCAAAGCCTCTAAGAAACAAACGCGCGATGGTGCGCCCCCATCTCACCACTCACGCGCACATACGTACACACACACACACACATTCATACATACACTCGCACGCCGCGAGCCTTTCGCGTGCCATCGCTGCCTTGGGCAGAGCCTCGGCCAACTTGGGCCCGGATCTGTCAACACCAACTCGCAGACGGCCTCCCGCAGAGGCCGCCCCGCCCCCTCCCCTTCCTAGGCATCGGGTACACGTAGTCAAATCTTCGCAGGCCAGCAACACCTCCACCCTGCGCCCCATTCAGTATCCGCCTCGCGCTAGCAATACCCGGTCCACAATCCCCAAACATTCGCCTCTGGGCCGCCCCACCATTCAGACCCTATATTAATCTCATCATTCAGACCCTATCTTAATCTCGTCATTCAGACCCTATATTAATCTCATCATTCAGACCCTATATTAATCTCCTTGAAGCCCCAGTCCCTGTCGCTGGTGTCATGTGCGAGTGTGCTTGTGTCCATATTTAACTCCTTCGAGCTTTCTGCCCATCCTAAACAAACAGCACGTTATCTCCAACCCTCTCATCCCTTCTCCGCGCCCCATCCTCTGTCCCCATTCGGATCTTCGCCCGCCAAGAAGTCAAACCACCGCACCGCGGCACTCCAATTCTCCAACCTAGAACCCCCGCCCGACCCCAAAAGACACTCACCTCCAGCCCCTCCCCTCCCCCACCCTCTAGCCCCCTGCGAGGCGGTCTGGCCCCGAGCAAGCGAAGTCTGGGAAATGCAGTCTACGTCCCCTCCTTGGAGCCAGGAATAGGTGACTGACCTAGCACTAGCCAGATCAGCCGGCGCACCCCTCTGGAGCGGCACACGCCTTGCAGTTCAGCCGCCCAGGAAAACACAGGTGCCGGCGAAAGGAGGAGAGCGGAAGCCGCCTCCGGGGTAGGCGGGAGGACTCACCGAACATCTGAATGTGCCCTTTGGTGATGGGATTGAAGCTGCCGCAGGCCAGCAAGATAACGTGGGTCTTGGTGGTTTCGGTCATGGTGCGGCTGGGTCCCTCTCCCTGGTCTAGGGGTTGGTTGCCTCTCTTTTTGTGTCTCGATCTGTCTGCAGAGGGAGAAAGGAAGGCGAGGCTCCGGCGGTGGATGCTGTGGACTCCAAGGAGCCGCTCCAGACGCAAACCGCGTCACTCCCAGCCTCCCCTTAACGCTTGCAGCTCCGGCGAGATGCGAGTCTGCTTTTGTATTGCTCTCCGCTGTCTATCCTCAGTTCTTCTCTTTCTTTTCCAGCCTCTTTCGTATCTCTGGTTCTGATGCCCCTCCCTACCCTTTCTTTCCTCCTCACCCCACTTAACTCCATCACTGTGTTCCTTAGAGTTTATCTACAAGGAAGGCTTGCTACTCAAGCCCAGAACCATGGATACTTAAAGCATGGTGTGAGCTCTATATTTAATGATTATGAACTAGCGAATTGGCTCCATGTCTTTACCTAGTGTTTATCAAGAAATAGGGAGGAACATGAACCTCTTCCCCTGCTACATCAGCCCGTTTTGTGCAGGTTGCCACAACCCCATCAGTTTGAGAGAATATGTAGAGTTGCTATATCTGTATTAGAAAACTATTAGGATCCTACATATGATATTGAGACAAAGATTTACCATTCAATGAATGTTTCTTGAGAGCTCACTGTGTATTATGTGCTATTTTGAATCCTGATGATAAAGCAAAGCCCACTTCCTTACTGAGTTTATATTATACTGGAAGAAGAGAGACAAACAGAGAAAGACAATATTAAATGGCTAGTGTGCAATACACTGTAAGGGAATGCAATTCACTCTGACAAAACAGAGTGGATAAGAAGGAAAAATCAGGTAGTCTGAGAAGGCCTTTCTGGGGAAATAACATTTAAGGTGAGATCATTTAGACAAGTAATAGTAGCTAGTACAAATATTCAGGGACAGGGAAAGGTGTCCTGTGCTTATAGAAATGAAAGAAGTTCCTCTGGCTAGAATGTATGGGCATGGGGGAAAGCGGTAGAGACTGTGTTGGTGATGGGTGTGGTGGCCCACATCTGTAATCCCAGTGACTGAGGCAGGAGGATCCGAGTTTGGAAGCCAATCTCAGCAATTTAGCAAGGCTGTAAGCAACCTAGTGAGACCCCGTCTCAAAATAGAAAGGAAAAAAGGCTGGGGGGCTTGGATGTAGCTCAGTGGCAAAGCCTCTACCTTGTGTTCGCAAAGCTCTGGTTTCAACCCCCTGTTCCAAAAAAAATGGGCTGGGGATATGGCTCAGTGGTTAAGCATGGGGGTTCAATCCCTGGTACCAAATAAAAAGTATTGGTGAGCAGGGCAAAATTAAATAGGGCTTGTCAGCTAGGATAATGGGTCAGAAGTTTTTCTGAGTGGAATAACCTATAGTAGAAAAACAAAAGGAAGTTGCTGAAGCTTTTAATCATGGGAGCAATATATAATTTCCATTTTTATAAGAGTACTCTAGCCATTGTATGGGGAAAAGGTACAAATGGGAAGATGAGGAAGGCATTTAAGAAACCCTGCTTGTGGCCTACGCAAGTGGAGTTGCCCTGGACAAGGGTTTCTAGAGAGTTTACTGGTTTTGCAGATGGGTAGGATATGGAGGAAAAGGGAAGGAGAGAAATCTAGAAAAATGTAGAAAAATCTAGAAATCTGAGTAAAAAAAAAAATGTGTGGACTGAGATTCAGAAAAATGGGAGAAGGAAAAGTTTGAGGGATGACCAAATGTTCTATTCTTACACAATAGAACCAGTAATCTGAGATTCACAGGTACAGATATTTGTCTTTTTAGGATTTGACAGTCTTGGGTAAATTTCTACCCAAGAGCGAGTTGTTCACTGTTTTATCCAAGAGAATATAGTAGGAATGCTGTAAATTCTTTAAAAATTGTGCTGGAATACTGTAGTAATGCAGCCACATCAATGTTTATAGCAGCACAATTCACAATAGCTAAGTTGTGGAACCAACCAAAATGCCCTTCAGTAGATGAATGAATAAAGAAACTGTGGTATATATACACAATGGAATATTACTCAGCATTAAAAGAGAAAAAAATCATGGCATTTGCAGGTAAACAGATGGAGTTGGAGAATATTATGCTAAGTGAAGTAAGCCAATCCCAAAAAACCAAATGCCAGATGTTTTCTCTGACATAAGGATGCTGATCCATAATGGGGATGGCAGGAGGGAGCATGGGAGGAATGGAGGAACTTTATTTAGGGCAAAGGGGATGGAGGGGAAGGGAGAGGGCATGAGGGTAGGAAAGATGGTGGAATGAGGTGGACATCATTACTTCAAGTATATGTATGAAGAAATGAATGGTGTGACTCTAATTTATATACAACCAGAGACATGAAAAATTGTGCTCTATATGTGTAGTATGAATTGAAATGCATTCTGCTGTCATATATAACAAATTAGAATAAATAAATAAATAAAAATTGTGCTGGATAGTAAATCAACCCTAAAATTCATAAACTCTCTAGTTCAAATAAAAGAGTCTTAAGCTGGGCATACAGCACACTTGCCTATAACCCCACTAACTCGGAAGGTTAAGGCAAGAGGATCACATGTTTAAGGCTAGCCTGGGCAACTTAACAAGACCCTGCCTGAAAATATTTTTTTAAAGGCTGAGGGTGTAGTTCAGTGGTAGAGTGCTTGCCTAGTATATGAGAGACTCTGGGTTCAGTTTTTAGTACTGCAAAAACTAAAAACAAAATGAAACAAATAAACAAAACAACCAAGAAAGCCCCACAAAAGTCTTAAGGACTAACGCGTATTCATAATGAAGTTTGTATCTTCCCTCATATGGATGCAGATTAGTGGGGTAGAAAGAGCAAGAGATTTCACTAGCTGGGCAATTAACATAATTATAGTTAAGCAATAAATATTTATTGAATGTCTGCCATGCACCAAGCACTGATTTAGGGGCTGTGAACAAAACAAAGTTCTTGCTTTAATCCAGCTCACATTCTAAAGAACAAATACCCATAAAGAATGAATGGGTACAAGAGTAATAGATACCCCAAAGAAAAATAAACAAAGCTGAAAAGAAAAAAGAAGGAAAGGAAATTCTCTTTCCTCTGTTATTTAAGGGGATCAGAGACAACCTCTCTGATGAGACAGTACTTGAGCAGGAACCTGAATAAAGTGAAGGAATCTGTCATCTGGATATCCGAAGATGCATAAGGCAGGCATAACAGCAAGTACAGCAGGTCAGAGAAGAACAGGGCTTGGGGGTGTTCAACAAGCAAGACTAGAGTTCAACACGCTGAAGAAAACCATGTGGAAAGGGTTGGAGACAGAGCAGAAAAGTAGGGCAGATTACGTAGAGCCTCATAGGCCCTGGTTAGGAATCTGGCTTTTCAATGAGATGGGAAGACATTGGAGTGCTCTTGAGTAGAGAAATGACATGAGCTGATTTACATTTGGAAAGTACCAGTTTGGCCCTGGTATTGAAATTTTGGAGTTATCAGTATAGTTTATATTTAAAGTTATGGGATTGAATGAGGTCACCTAGGGAGGAACAGATATACAGACAAGAAAAAAGGCCCTCAGATTCAGCCCTGGGGCACACCAAGTTAATAATAGTAGCTCATACTCATTGGATATTACTAGAGGCCCTGGCACTCAAAGCTCTTTCACTTATTTTACACTCCCAATAACTCTATGAGTTTATAAGACTGCTATCTCTAATAGAGCTGGGCGTATAGTGGCACGGAGAAAATAAGTAACTGGTCTGAGTTCAAGTAACTGGTACTGATGAAGCCAGATTCAAACCTTGGTAGTTTTGACTGAAAGTCCTCTTCTAGATCATCCAAGGTCACTCTCACATTGTTTCAATCTTATGCTATATGAACTGCATTTTTAAAAATATATATTTATTTTTTAGTTTTACGTAGACACAATATCTTTATTTTATTTTTATGTAGTGCTGAGGATAGAACCCAGTGCCTCATGCATGCTAGGTGAGCACTCTACCACTGAGCTACAACCCCAGACCTATATGAACTGCATTTTTAAAATGAGGATAACAGTATCCACTAAGCCACAGGGATGTTAAGATGAGACATAATGTAGATAGAACACTGAGGGTATCTTAGATGGTCAATATAATGGAAGTCTTAGCAGAGATTGAAAAATAGACAGAGATTGCCCTACTAGGTGCTACAATCTGAATATTTGCTTTCCTCTAAAATCCATACTTTGAAAATTAATCCCCAGTGTAATAGTATTTAGAGGTAGGGTTTTAGGGTTTGGGGTAAGTGCTTAGGATAAAGCCCTCAGGAATGAGATTAGTGCCATTGTAATAGAGGTCTCAAGAGAGCTAGCTAGTCCCTTCTATCACGGAAGGACACAGTGAGAAGTTGCCATTTATGAATCAGGAAACAGGCCCTCACTGGATCTGCCAGCTCCTTGACTTGGATTTTCCAGTCTCCAGAACTGTGAGCAATAAAGGATGTTCATAAGCCACCCAGCCTATGGTATTTTGTTAAGGCAGTCTGAATGGACTAATACACCACCTCTTCAAGTTTTCCTTCCCTTTTTATCCAGGAAAAATGGATAAGTGGGCCACAATATTCTGAGTAACTTGACTGGATATTCACTTAACTCCTCAAGTTAATTTTAATAAAGAGAAAGAAAAATAACTCAAATTCCCATACAGAATAGTGCTCAGTAAATATTGATGGATTAAACACAAAATTCTTTTTACCAGCCCAATTTCCAGGGAGTAACAATGAGATGAGTACTTATAACAAGGCAATAAACATATTTTTAGTCGTATAGGTTATATCATAAGTAATAGTTTAAATTCTAAAATTAGATTGCAATCCTAATAGTCTCCTGTAATTTTCATTATTCTTGTCTCTAATTCTTGTATGCCTAAAGAGGGTTCTGGAATTAGAATATGAAAACACGGAAAGTAAGACCTGGCTCTGCTCCTTGCTAATAGGGCAAGTCCTTCATTGCTAAACTTTCATTTTGTCAACTAAAATTACCTGCCTCTGAGTTAAGATATATCTATGTCTATATATTTATATCAATATAACATTTTGTGAAATTATCAAAAGCCTAAAAGATAATATACACTTTGAAAAATCAGCCATACTATTGGTATAAAATGGGGTATCCATACAGGATTGCTGTATGGATCA